GCTTAGTTTTTGAAATTTTCCATCCACCGCCACCTTCATCAGTAGCTCCGGAGACCAAAATGAAGTTGTGGTCCTATGAAGCAGTGGTTTAAATAGGGGTCGTTGACAACAGATTGAAATCTACAGCGGATCAAAGTTCTGCCCTACATCACTATTTTGTATTTCTCTACGACCTCCTTTCGAGAGAACGAACGGGCTCTCAACCAGTGCGAAATACGAATGATCAGTAAATGGTGTCAGTGGGGAAGATCTGGTCAGCAGTCAGTTGCAGTTTGGGTTTGTAGAGTTTCGGCAGGACATGCTGGAATTTCCCAGTCGCGATGGTTGTGTGGGCACCTCTGCTTGCATGAGAGGCAGCTCCGCAGTTTTATATGTATTTCGGCGTGTTGGTTAGCTTTGCGAAAGTCTGGCTGTTTCACAAAGGTGATGAAGCCTGAAAGTCCAAGCAGAAGGTAGAAAACGCTGAATTCGTCCTTGAGCCCTTCGTGTTGAGGTTGCCAACATTGCGACAACCCTACATGGCACTAGCAGTTTTGGAAAATAAAGTAATTATCAGTAATTGTCGTGGGGGAACCCGCGAAACTTGATGCGACTAGAGATTGGAACCGTGACCGCTCGAACGATAACCTACTTACATCGCTCTCAACCAACTTTCTCGAAATTTTAAACACAATTACAAACCTATCAAGTCGCACGTTTCCATAATTATTTTGTATTTCTCGGCGATGTCGCTTCCAGTGATTTCCCGGACTCAATCAGCTTGAAATACGGTTCAACTTTAAGTGGAGGAAGTGAGGAAACAAAACTTCCACCCTGATTGATAAGATGATAAGCGCTATGGACTTTGCATGGGAAAGCTTTACTAGGAGGTGCACTGAGCTTCCGCCTATAGCCCCCTGAGTGGAACTCTGTTTCTGTGGGTAGCAGCTATGCTGGTTCTCAGTTTTTCAAGGCATGTGGGGTGCTTTCACGAGAGTCGGCCCGGTTCACAGCGATGCCGAGGTCCGACTGTAATTTTAGTGAAATATGACCAATTTTTACTAAAATTTTTAGCTGTGCAGAAGGAAACGCGCCGCGTGGGGAGCATTTAAGAATATCGAGGGAGTAGTGAAGAAGACAAAGAACATCCGGCTCCGCGCTCACCT